GTGCGTGTGAGGGAGGGGAAGAGAGTGTGCGTGTGAGAGAGGATCTGTCTGAGTGTGTTTTGTGAGTGTGTGTAGTGTGGTGGGGTCACCTGTAGTGCAACATGAACTGAAGATCCCGGTTGAGGCCATCCTCATGGCTACCAGACTTGACTATTAGCCTCTGCTCAGCAATTCTGCAATGTTGTGTATCCCAAAGCCCACTTTGGAGAACGTTTATTCAACAGTCCAAGGCTGAATGTCCTTGACAGCTGAATTTTTCCCCCACTGGGAGGGAACATCCCTGTTTGGCGGTTTTGCGCGGTGTCCATTCATCCGTTGTCATAGCGTATGCCTGGTTTCGCCAATATACCATGCCTTGGGGCATCCTTGCCTGCAGCATATGAGATAAACAATGTTAGCCAAGTCACATGAGTATCTGCCATGCACATGATGGGTGGTGTTCCCACATGTGATGGCTGTGTCCATATCGAAGATCTGCCATGTCTTGCAGAGGTTACCGTGACAGGGTTGTATAGTTTTGTGGTTGATGTTGTCCTGAAGTCTGGGTAGTTTGCTGCGAACAGTGGTCTGTTTAAGGTTTGGCGATTGTTTGAAGGTGAGAAGCGGAGGTGTGGGGAAGATCTTAGCGAAGTGTTCATCGTCATCAATGTTTTGAAGGCTGCAAAGAACAAAGTTTCTCCCCTCCCAGGAAGTTCTGGACGACAAAGGGTACATATTAATCAATTAAAATGTTCAAATTGATTAAAGATTTAACAGTAACTTAGGTTTGTCGAATACATCCTCATCAGTTCTGTGACCCTTTGATCTTTTACTTATAAATTCTGTGTTCTGTGTGCTTCTTTCTCACTTCACCTGATAAAGGGGTTATGCTTCAAAAGCCTGTATTTGCAAATAAACCTGTTGGTCTATAACCTGGGTCATGTAATTCCTGGCCTTGTTTCCACAGTGGTGGGGTGACGCTAGACGTGTCCTTACCATGTGCATGTGTTTAGAACGGTCACCAGACCCAAAACGTTAACTCTGATTTTTTCTTCACAGATGCTGCCAGACCTGCTGAGCTTTTCCAGGAACTTCTCTTTTTGTTCATGAGGCTTTTGCGTACTTTGTTAAACACTTAAAATCCATAGAGACAACATCCACTGCAATCCATAGAACCATTGAAATATTACAGCACACAAGAGGCCATTTGGCCCATCTTGTGCATGCCAAACCAAAGACATCCAGATGCCCTTTCTAATCCTACCTTTGTGCCCACGGCCCATGGCCCTGCAGCTTACATGCTTAAGCTGCAGATCCAGATACTTCATAAAAGTTTTTCAGGTCTCTGCTCCCACTATTGACTCGGGCAACAAATTTCAGACACCCACCACCTTCTGGAGTCCTTTTATCATCCTTTTCTGTCACTTCAGCAAGTTTATTACTATCCTCCGGTTTATTACATTTTTGAGTTTTGGACCATCTGTTCCTGATTTACAGAATCCACAGTTCTTTCAGTTTTTATTTACACAACAGACTCAGTGGGACGGTTAGTGTCAGCTTGGATAGGAAAATTGGCTTAAAGATTAAAAGAGAGTTGTGATAGATTTTTTTTAGCCTAGGTGATTGTGGACATTGTTTGACAAGGGTCAGTGCTAGAATCATATCTCTTTGAAATACATTAATTACTTCAAAATTTGCTGTATTACCAAATAGCAATTGACGACAACAGAACATCAATAGACAATAACATGGGTAAACAAGTGGGAGGTAGAATTTAATAGGGAGAAGAGGAGATAATGCCTTAACTATTGCATTTGCTTAAATGCATTATGAGCTTACTGGCACAGTTCTAAACAGTGTGCAGTGACAGAGGAACCCAGGAATTCACGTTCATAGATCTTTGAAAGGTGGTGGGACTTATTGAAATTCATTCTTGGGACGTGGGCATTGCTGGCTCAGCCAGCATTTATTTCCCATTCATTGTTGCTCTTGAGAAGGTGGTGGTGAGCTGCCTTCTTGAACCGCTGCAATCTGCGGGTTGTAGATAGATGCACAGTGTCATTAGGGAATCAGTTCCAGGATTTTGACCCAGCAACATTTGAAGGAACAGCAATGTATTTCCAAGTTAGGAAGGAAACTTGCAGATATTGGTGTTCTCGTTTATCTACTGCTCATCCTTCTAGATGATGGTTGTGGGTTTGGAAGGTCCTTTCTAAGGAGAACTGGGGTAGTTCTGCAGTGCATTTGTAGATGGTACACAGTGCTGCAGCTGTGTGTTAATACAATTTGGAGCTGGAGTATCACAGCAGGTCAGGCAGCATCAGAGGACTAGGAGATTCAACATTTTGGTCCTAGACCCTTCATCAGGACTGCCACTGTGCGTTGTTGGTGGAGGAAGTGGATGTGGTCTCAATGAGCTGCTTTGTCCTGGATGGAGTCAAGCTTCTTGGGTGTTGTTGGAGCTGCACTCATCTGGGCAAGTGGGCAGTATTCTATCACACTCCTGACTTGTGCCTTGTAGGTGGTGGATGGGATTTAAAGAGTCAGGAGTGATTTACTTCAGCATTCTAAGCCTCTGACTTGCTTTTGCAGCCACTGTATTTATATGGCTAGTAAATATAATTACTGAGTACAAACGCAGGGAAGTTCCGCTGAAAATTTACGAAGTTCTGTTGAGAATAATAAAAGTTGTAGCACTAAGAGTGGACACTTGGTCTGTTGTGTCTGTGTCATCCAAAAAGTGAATCACGTGGCTAAGAGATAGCAAGAACTGCAGATGCAGGATTGTGGAGCTGGAGGAACACAGCAGGCCAGGCAGCATCAGAGAAGCAGGAAAGTTGACATTTTGGGATGGGACTCTTCAGAAATAGGGAGGGGAGCTGGGAAATACATAAGAGAGGAGGGATGGGGCTGGGGAACGTAGGTGGGATGGTGATAGGTGAATGCAGGTATGGTGTGGTGGGGATTGGTCAGTGGAATGGGTGGGGCAGATAGGTGGGAAAGAAGATGGACCGGTTGTGTTGGGTCAAGGAGGTGGGAGGGAGGATGGGTGGGGCTGGGGAAAGGTGAGTGGGGTGGTGATAGGTTGGATGCAGGTAGGGCATAGTGGGTAGTGGGGATTGGTCAGTGGGAAGGGTAGGGTGGATAGATGGGAGAGAAGATGGACAGGTCATGTCAGATCATGGAGGCGGGGATGAGAGGGAGGTTTGGACATGGGATGAGGCCGGGGGTGGGGAGATGTTAAAACTGGTGAATTCTACGTTAAGGCCATCGGGCTGTAGGCTCCCAAAGCAGAATATGAGTGTTGTTTATCCAGTTTGCGTGTGGTGTCGGTATGGCACTGGAGGAGGCCCAGGATGGACATGTCACCCAGGAGTGGGAGGGGGAGTTAAAATGGTTGGCGACTGGAAGATGTTGTCGCTTGTCGCGTACAGAGCATAGATGCTTGATGAAGTGGCCCCCAAGTCTATGCTTGGTCTCACCGGTGTGGAGGAGGCCGTTGATGGAGGTAATGGGGGTTGAGTAGGGGCAGGTGTAGCACTTCCTGCAGTTTCAGGGAAAGGTGCCGTGTGTGGTGGGGTTAGTGGGGAGTGTGGAGCGGACATGGCTACTGTCTTTTTCCAGCATTTGGTCCACAGCCCTGAAGGATACAGCTCTTGAGGTGAATATTCAGGCATCTTTCAATTGAGTTGAGAGTTCGTGCCTCTGACACCCTTTCGGACAGTGAGTTCCAGACTTCTACCGCTCTTTGGTTGAAAAATTTTTCCTTACCTCCGCTCCAATCACGTTAAATCTATGCCCCTTTAGTTACTGATCTCTCTGTTAAGATAAATAGACCTGCCTATCCCTTCTGTATAAGCCTCTTCCCAAATTTGTGGATCTCATGTAAATCTTCCCTCGGCCTCCTTTGTTCTAGGGGAAACAACCGGCCTATTTAATCTTCCCTCTTAGCTGGTTTTTCAGCATTCTCATAAATCTCCCATGTCCTCTTTCTAATGTAGTTTCATGAAATGACCAGAGCTGTGGCCTAATTCATGATTCCAGAATTACCTCTCTGTTCTTACATACTATACCTTGGTTATTAAAGGAAAGGTTTCCATAATTTTCGTGTCACTGTCCTTCAGGATCTGGGAACGTTCATTTCCAAGTTCTTTCACTTCTTCTGCACCTCTCAATAATCTCCCATTTATCATGTATTTGCTCACTTTGTTTGACCACCACCCGCCCTCCCAACCCATGCATAACCTCAGATTTCTCTGGTTGAATTCCATTTACTACTTTGCTGCTGTTATCTTCCTGCATATGGCTTTCCTCATTGTCAACCAGACAGATTTTGAGTCGTCTGCAAACTTCTTGATCATGCCCCAAATATTTACATACACTTTATTAGTATGTACCACATGAAGCAAGGGACAGTGCTGAGTTTTGTCAAACCCCACTGGAAACAGCTTTCCAGTCAGAGAAACCGGTTTCAACGTCACCCTTTCTTTCTTGCCACAAAGCAGTTTTTATCCATCTTGCTCCATTTCATTGGATCTCATAAGTTTTTCTTTTTTTTTAAACTCTGCTGCCTTATGGGATCTTGTCAAAAGCCTTGCTGATATCTAATTAGACTATATCAACTGCAATTTACTCATCAGTCCTCTTTATTGCTACCTCAAAAAATAAAGCCATGCTGACTATCCTTTATAAAAACTGAAAGAACTGCAAATACCGGAAATCAGAAACAAAAACAGAAGTTGCTGGCAAAGCTCGGCAGGTTTGGCAGCATCTGTGAAAACAAATCAGAGTTAACATTTCGGGTCCAATGACCCTTCCTTAGATGTATCCTTTATTTATCCCTGCCTTTCTACATGATAGTTTAAGCTGTCTCAGAATTGACTCCAGTAATTTGCCCACGACTAAGGTTAGACTGATGTGGCCTGGAATTGTTTGGTCAATTCCTCACTCTCCTTTTAAACAATGGTATAACAATGGCGGCACGGTAGCTCAGTGGTTAGCATTGCTGCCTCACAGCACCAGGGACCCGAGTTCGATTCTACCCTTGGGCGACTGTCTGTGTGGAGTTTGCACATTCTCCCTGTGTCTGCATGGGTTTCCTCCCACAGTCCAAAGGTGTGTAACCTAGGTAGATTGGTCATGCTAAATTGCCCGTAGTGTTCAGAGATGTGTAGATTAGGTGGGTTATAGGGAATGGGTCTGGGTGGGATGCTTTGAGGTTCGGTGTGGACTTGTTGGGCCGAAGGGCCTGTTTCCACACTGTAAGGATTCTATGAAAATTCTATGAAATTAGTAGTAAGGGGCAACTAGGATGCACAGTTTCATCCTAATGGATCTCCCACTTAAGAGTAAGATGTGGAGAAATTTCTCATCTGAGGGTTGATAACCAATTTCTTCACCAGAGAGCAGAGGAGGCTGGACCATTACATGTATAGAGCACTTAGTTAAACAGATTTGTGATCTAAAAGGGAGTTGAGGATTACACCAGCAGGTTGCAAAATGGAGCTAGGCTAAAATCGGATCAACCATGATCCTGTTGAATGGTGGAACAGGCTCAAGGAGCTTCTTGGCATTCTACTTTTGAGCTTTGAAATGGCTACTCAAATATATGACACCCCTAGAAGACATGGAATACAACAGTTCCTAATTCCAAACAGCTGCTCAGGACAACTGGGCGGCCAAGGAATGGCTCTTGGCATGATGCGCATATCCAGAGACCAATTGTTTTTATACTAAGTCCTCTTTTATGTTCCAGGTTCCATTCTAACCATTTGACATATATTCTAGTATGCTGTGTGTGTATCCAGCATTGCTTCTGATGCATCTTCATTTTTTTGTTTTGCAGGTCCTACATGGATAAATGTGTTGGGATCGAATTTGTTCTTCTATACTATGTATAGTAAACCCTACAGAATCATATTCAGCTCGAAAGTGTTTCCCTCTCAGTATACTGGAACAGATCATCGGACAGCATGCTACCGCTTACTGACTGTATCTCAAGACCTCGGTCTGGGTGGGTTGGATTGGTGTCATAGAGCCATACAGCATAGAAACAGTGGATTGTGATTATTGTGATCTGTATCTTGGGGGTTGTGTCTAGCCACCATTTGAAAGTGAAAGAGTTTACAATCTGTGAAACTGTCAGAAGTAAATTTGAATTATTCGAAATTTTAATCAAAGCTGTTAATAGACTTGGATGTCATCAAATATCAGTCTGGTGTTTCATAAAATTTGATATTCATTCTCAAATAAGTCTAGGTTAGTAATTACCCAGTTGTTATGTAACTAAATTAGATTCTGGTTTGGATTGTTAACAATAATTTTGGATTATTGGCTAATGCTAGGACATGTCTGGTCTTGCACAGATTTGGTCAATGCCATAACATCCTGTTTCAGCAGGATTCTGAGAGTAGATCTCAAATTTTGAGGTAGTAAATTGAAACAGGCACATTATAGGTAACTATTTCAAATGATTTACTGAGATTAGTAGATTAGAAAGTTAAACATTCATGGCTAATGTTCCCTTTGCATCTGTTTGGTACCTTTTTATCATACAGCCACACATGTTATTATCTCAGCAACTACCACACTCCTGCACAGCAGTGCAAGCACAGAGATTAGTTAGGAGCATTTCTTGAGCAAATAAACTTTTAAAGGCCATGCAATGCGGATGCCGTAGTTCTGTGTGCATAAATAACTTATACATTCTACAAAGAGCTTGTGCTAAAATATTCGTGCACCTAAACTAAGTAACTTACTTAAGTGTATTTTGCCTGTGTTTAATTTTTCACTTCCAATCAATGAATGCTAGAAACAGTTTGTAAGAGGTTCACAGCAAAGTCAAACAAAGCAAATCTTGAATTTAAAAAAATCTCACAGTCTTTGAGGTTAGCTACCAAACACACAGTACAATATAAGTATGAAAGCTGACATAGAATACTGTCTGAAGTGTCATAGATCAAATCTTTGGTTTTCTGGCTGAGGAAAAGTACTTGAAGAAAATGTTTGGAAACAGGAGGTTCTACTGTCTTAACACCTCCTGAAATACAGTGCATCGTGGCTGAAATGAACATTTTTTGTTCATTCCTGGGATTCAGGCATTGTTGGCTGGGCCAGTATTTATTGCTGATTTTCAACTGCCTTTCAGAAGGTGGTGGAGACCTGCCACCTTGAACCGCTGCTGTCCATTTGGTTTCATTACTTGCCACAATGGCTATGGTGACTTGGACAGAAACATGCATTTGGTGGTGTCCCCTGCCTTTGCTGCCCTTGACCTTCTAGATGGTAGTGGTCATGGGTTTTTGGAAGGTGCTACCTAAGAAGCATTGGTGCAGTGTAGCTTGCTACAATGCATTGGTGGAGAAGGACTGAATGTTTGTGGATGTGGTGCCAATCAAGCAGGCTGCTTTGTCCTGGATGTGGTCAAGCTTCTTGAATGTTATAGAGCAACAGTCATCCAGACAAGTAGGAATATTCCATTCACAGTGCTGAATTGTGCCTTGTAGATTGTGGACAAGCTTTAGGGAGTCAGGAGATGAGTTACCGCTGCATAATTCGTAGCCTCTGACCTCCTCTTGAGTTACAGTGTTTACATAGCTGGTCCAGTTCAATCTCTGGTCACTGGTAACCCTAGGATGTGGATACTAAGGTTTCAGTGATGATGGTGCCATTGAATGCCAAGGGGTGATGGTTAGATTCTCACTTGTCAGAGATGATCATTCCCTGGTATTTGTGTGGATTGAGTTTTACATACCGTTGACAATTAGTCACCACTCCACAGACCAATCAGATACCTGTTACTAAAGTTTTAAAAAAATGTGATGCACAAATCACAAAACACAAGACTTGCATCATTCATCCTTCCTCCATCCCACACCCCCACCCACCTTGTACAAACCCACCATTCAATAGGATCATGGCTGATCTGATATGCCTCATGTCTACTTTCCTTCCATGCTCCCCTAATACTTGATTCTCCTGCTGACCATGAATCTATCCATCTCAGCCTTAAATATAAACAAAGACTTGGTCCCCACAGGTCTCTGTGGCAAGGAGTTCCAAAGACTCTCAACCGTCTGAGAGAAGAAGTTCCTCCTCTTCTCGGTCTTAAATTGACACCTTTTATTCTGAAACAGTGCACTTTGGTCCTAGACTCTCCCATGAGGGGAAACAACATCTGAGCATTTACCCTGTCAAGACCCATAAGAAATCTATATGTTTCAATGAGATCACCCCTCATTCTTCTAAATGCAATGAGTAGAGTCCCAACCTGTTTCGCCTTTGTTCTTAAGACAATCCCTCCATACCAGGGATCATCCTAGTGAATTTTCTCTGCCCCCAATAAAATTATATCTTAAATAAGGGGACCAAAATTACTCAAAGTACTTCAGAAGTTGTTTCACCAGCACCTTGTACATTTGCAGTAAGACTCCCCTTCTCATACTGCAATCCTCTTGAAATGAGGGCCATCATTCCTTTAGCCTTTCTGATTACCTATTGCCCGTGTGCTAACTTTGTTTCATGCTCAAGTACCACCAAGTGCCTGTGTTGCAGCTTTCTGAACTTTCTTTCCATTTAAATAACACTGTTCTTTTGTTCTCCCTTAAAAACTGAACAACTTCACATTTTGCCACATTTCTACTCCTTTTATCCACTCTAAACCTACCAATATCTCTCTGTAAACTGTTAATATTCTGCTTACAACTTGCCTTTCCACATATTTGTGTATCATTTGCAAATTTGGCTAAAGTATACTTACTTACTTCCTCCAAGTCATTAATATATTTTGTAAACAGTTGCAGTCTCAGCACTGATCCTAATGGAACCCTCCTGGTCACAAGTCACCAACCTCTCGTAGTTTCCTGCCGGTTAGCCAATTCACTATCCATGTCAATAAACTATCTCCAACACCATGGGCTCTAATGACTTAATATTTTGAGCGATACCTTTTCAAACACCTGTAAATCCAAATACGACATATCTACTGGTTCACCTCCAAACTTTAGTCAGACGTGATTTCCCTTTCATGAAGCTATGCTGACTCTGCTTGATTAGATTATGGTTTTCCAAATGTGCTGCCATTACTTCCTTAATAATTGTTTCTAATATTTTTCCAACAATAAATGTTAGGCTAATCATCTGTAGTTACCTGCTTTTTGCCTCCCTTTTTGAATCGGGGTATCACATTGGCAATCTTCCAGTAATACTCCAGAATGCAACGAATTTTGGAAAATTACAACCAATGCATCTATTATCTCTGTAGCTACTTCTTTTAGGATCCTAGAATGCAAGCCATCAGGGCCAGTGGACTTATCTGCCTGCAGTCCCGTCAGTTTATCTAACATTACCTCTCTTGTGATAGTGATAGTATTTATCGTCGTAGAACTGTACAGTATGGAAACAGACCTTTCGGTCGAACTGATCCATGCCAACCAGATACCCTAAATTAATCTAATCCCATTTGCCAGCTTTTGACCCATATCCCTCTAAACCCTTCCTATTCAGATGCCTTTTAAATGTTGTAGTTGTACCAGCCTCCACCATTTCCTTTGGCAGGTCATTCTATACGCACCAACCCCTGCGTGGAAAATGTTGTCCCTTAGGTCCCTTTTAAATCTTTGCTGTCTCACCTTAAACCTATGCCCACTGGTTTTGGACTCCCCCACCCTGCGGAAATGACCTTGGCTATTCACCATATCCATGCCCCTCATGATTTAATAAACTTCTATAAAGTCACCCTTCAGCCTCCCATGCTCCAGGGAAAATACCCCAGCCTATTCAGCCTGTCCCTAGGACTCAAGCCCTCTAACCTTGGCAATGTCCTTGTAAATCTTTCCTCAACCCTTTCATCCCTGTATTCGTTCCACCCTAAAGATCGATGCAAAATATCTGTTAATTCCTCTCCCATTTCCTTCTTTCCACAATCTCCCCAGATTCATTTTCTAAGGGGCTTATGTTCACTTTGACCTCTCTCTTCCTTTTATATATTTAAAAAAGCTCATTGACATTCCTTGATAGTTTGCCCTTGTAGCTTAACTCTCCCTTTTTCTCTTTATAGTTGACCTTTGCTGGATTCCTAATTTAGCTCAATCTTTGGGGCTCTGTCTGGCTTTTGCCCCTCTTTATATATGATTTTTCTTTTAACTTTACCTATTTTTCTTATTGGCCTGTACAGAGATGTTACACACCTCAGCAGCAGGTGGCACTTGAACCCAGGCCTCCCTGTCCAGGGATAGGGACACCATGACTGCATCACAAGAAGGCCCCTAACTATGCTTAACTTCCTTGATTAGCCATGGTTGGTTTATGCATTTGGAATCTTTCCTGCTTGGGGGATATATTTTTGCTGAGTCATGAATTACCTCTTTAAATGTCTGCCACTACTTGCTTACTGTCTTTCCTGTTAATCTATCTACTCAATCCACATTAGCTAACTCCACCCAAATTTTATTGTGATTCCTTTTATTTAAATTAAACACGGTTGTTTCCGACCTGTTAGTCACTCACATACCCTGATCGTCAATTTCTGCAATAACCTTCGATGTGGCATTTTATCAAAGTCCTTCTGGAAATTGAAGTACATTATGACCTCTGAGAACTTTTGATTGACTGGCCAAACATAATTTTTGCATCATACCAACCCAAAAATAAGCGAGAGAGTTAAATGAGTTCTGAGGAAGGGTCACCGGACCTGAAACGTTAACTCTGTTTTCTCCTCCACAGATGCTGCCAGACCTGCTGAGCTTTTCCAGCAAATTTGTTTTTGTTCCTATTTATGGCTTGCTTCCTGTTTGCTAAATAATCCTCTGTCAACAAATATGATTTCTCTTTCGCAAAACCATGTCCATTCTGCCTGATTGCATGAAGATTTTCTAAGTGTCCTGCTGTAACTTCCTTTTTTTTCATTTTTCTCTGACTGATAAGCTAACTGGATAGTAATTTCCTGTCTCCTCTAGGATTCTTTATTGAACAGAAGTCTCACTATTTTCCAATTTGAAGAGACTGTATTGGAATCTAGGGAGTTTGGGAAAATTAAAATCAATGAATCAACTATCTCAGCAGACTCAAAAGATGAGGTTGGTCAGGACCCAGAAAGAAGTGAGCTCCTTCGTTTTATTAATTTTCTCAGTGCCTTCAGCTGAGCCACACTCACCTTACGCTCAGACCTCCAGGGCCTGGTTTTTTTGGCCACTTGCTGTACGCCGCTAAGATAGCTTGGCGCTCAAGCTGACCATAGATTCCAGGAGCCAGAGGAGCAGCCTGTGGCCTTTGTCACTCCTAGGAGACCACATCCTTGACTTGGGGGAAGCTTTCTCGAGAGATGTTGACGACGTTTTCAACCGGACTAGCCCTCACCACCTCCCCATCACCTCAAGATATATATGCAAAAGTAGGCCATTCAGTCCATTGATGCTGCTCTGCCATTCAAAGAAATCATGACTGATCTGATCATCCATCTTCCTTCTTTTCCCCGTAACTCTTGATGCCCCTAAAAAGTGAGTATACTTAACAACCGAGCCTTGACAGCCCTCTATAATAAAGAATTCCACAGATTCACTCCCCTCTGAAAGGAGGAATTCCTTCTGTCCCACAAGGTGAAACAACCCTTCTGTGTCTACCGTGTCAGGTTCCCCTAAGAATCTTGTGTGTTTCAATAAGGGTCTCTCTTATACATTCAATAACGACCTAATCTACTTGATTTTTATTTTCATTAAGACAATCCTCTCCATGCTTGGCATCAACCTAGTGAACCTTGCCTCCAATGCCAGTGTAACTTTCCTTGGATAAGGGCACAAAATTTCACAGAATTGCAGCTATTGTGCCTTACAATGATACAGCACAGAAGCAGCTTTTCTGCCAATCACGTCTGCACCAACCCATTTACAGTAATCCCACTTTCCGGTACTCGGTGTATAGTCAACATTTATTTCACGAACAAAAACAAAGTTGCTGGAAAAGCTCAGCAGGTCTGGCAGCATCTGTGAAGAAAAAAGGTTAACGTTTCAGGTCTGGTGACCCTTCCTCAGAACTTTACAGCAACGTTTTTTGTTCCTGATTTACAGCATCTGCAGTTCTGTCAGTTTTTAGTCAACATTTAAATTCCTTCCCTATTACCTGTTGAACACGCATGCTATCTTTTTGTGACTCATGAAACGATACTCTGAAATCAGACTTTCTACAATTAAATAATATGGCTCCTCCATTCTTTTTGTCAAAATACGAAACCTCACATTTCCCCACATTATATTTCATCGGCTCAGTTCTTGCCTGCTCAAAATCCCTTCGCAGATTCGGTCATCTTCATTCCTTGCCTTCCCGCGTATTTTTGTGTGATATGCAGGTTGACCAACAGTACATTAATTTTCCCCATCAAATTCACTCATATAAATTGTGAATGATTGCGGCCTCGGCACTGATCACTGTGACACTCCACTAGTTGCCATCCTGAAAATATTTCTCATATCCCAACGCTGTCTTTTATTAGAGATAACAAGTTGTTGAGCTGGATGAACATAACAGGCCAAGCAGCATCAGAGGAACAGGAAAGCTGACGTTTCGGAGACCTGAAAGGTCAGCTTTCCTGCTCCTGTGATGCTGCTTGGCCTGCTGTGTTCATCCAGCTCAACAACTTGTTATCTGAGATTCTCCAGCATCTGCAGTTCCTACTATCTGTCTTTTATTAGATGCTAATTCTCTATCATTGTGAATATACTACCTCCAATACCATGGCTCTATTAAGTGGCCTAATGTACCTTGTTAAAATCCAAATATATTACATTCACTGCTTCATTTTATTTACTGCTTCTTATCACGACAAAGAATTAAAATACATTTATTAGGCACGATTTCAGACATCGCTCGGAGTCACAAGTTCACGTTGAACATCGGCCGAGACATTGCTGCCCCAAACAAAAATGCCGTCACCCCGCAGCGAACATTGCAACGTGAAAACCTGATGGTTTCATCCACGGATACAATGCCCCGCACAAATATGGTATCTCCAGAAGTGTCACCGGACCCGAAACGTTAACTCTGATTTTTCCTCACAGATGCTGCCAGACTTGCTGAGCTTTTCCAGTAATTTCTGTTTTTGTTCCTGATTTACACTAGCTGCAGCTCTTTGGATTTTTATCCCCAGGTCAAGCCCTTCGGTGACTCACGTGACCCCTCCAGTGTGCTGATGTGTCTGTGATCAGCTGGAGCTCCACCGGAAACTGGATTCAGAGAGAAACCCGGAACTAAAAAACTGGGGCGTGGGTACCTGGTGGGACACAAGAGACCGGGGATCGTGGAGAGTAGGACCGGAGGGTCTGGGTCTGCTGAAGGTGATGGGTCGTCGCGGAGCCCCTGAGTTGTACCGCGCTCCTTTCCCACTTTATGCTGTCAGTGTCCCACGGGCCGACCTGGTGGTGACCGCGGGCGGAGGAGGCGCCTCTAAGACCGGTATCAGCAACGGAGTGGTGAGTGTGACAGAACACAGTCAGTGCGGTTCCCGGACACGGCACGGATACAGAACCAGGCCGAGACACACTCTATCTTATTATCTTTATTTTTACTCTATCTTACTATCTCTGAGAGACATACTGTAGGCTCGCACAATCCGGACACACAGTCAACAAGGACACTACATAGAGTGAACTCAGTCCGGCCGCACAGGGCATACTCACTGTCAGCTTACCGGGCCGCACACTCGGTGACCATCAAGGTAGAATTTTAATTTGTTAAAAATTAAAAGTGTTCAATAGATTTGCAAGGAAGTAGGTTAAATGAGAAAGAAAGCGCTAACGTAGATTTTGGGGCTTCGTGACCACACCTACATAAATACAGGCAAATAAAAACCGAAAGAACTGCGGATGCTGTTAATCAGGAACAAAAACAAAGTTGCTGGAAGCCCAGCAGGTCTGGCAGCATCTGTGAAGGAAAAAACAGAGTTGACGTTTCGGGTCCGGTGACCCTTCCGCAGAACTTGTTGCTGCCAGATCTGCTGAGCTTCCAGCAACTTCTGTTTTTGTCCCTTCTGAGGAAGGGTCACTGGACCCAAAACGTTAACTCTGATTTTTCATCACAGATGCTGCTAGACCTGCTGAGCTTTTCCAGCAATTTCTGTTTTTATGCATTATACAGGCAGTCCACTAGTTGTAATGAATTTTAAGATACTTTGTTTGTCAACCAGGAAGCAGTTTGGATATGACACTTTAGTTAAGTAGACAACAGCCCCCCAGCCCTGCACAGCTTGCTTCTGCCTCCTTCCTAAAATCCACAAACAGGACTGTCCGGGCAGACCCATTGTTTTAGCCTGCTCCTGCCCCACAGAACTCCTATCTTTCCACCTTGACTCAATCTTCTCTCCCCTGGTCCCATCCCTGCCCACGTACATCCAAGATTCTTTTGACGCTTTATAACAGTTTCAAAACTTCTAGTTTGCAGGTTCCAGCTGCCTCCTCTTTACCATGGATGTGCTATCCTTTTACACATCCATTCCCCATCAGGAGGGTCTTAGGGCTGTCCACTTGTTCCTGGAGCAAAGACCTGAACTGTCCCCATCCTCTTCCGCTTGGTCATTTTGTTCAGGTCAGAGGGGCGGCCATGGGTACCTGCATGGGCCATAGTTATGCCAGTCTCTTCATGGGGTACGTGGAACATTCCATGCTCCAGTCCTATTCCGGCCCCCACCCACAACTCTTTCTCAGACATATCAGTGATATCATTGCTGCTTCCCTCTCTCGTCCGGAATTGGAAAAGTTCATCAATTTTGCTTCCAGTTTCCACCCTGCCCTCACTTTCACCTGGTCTATCTCTGACTCCTCCCTTCCCTTCCTCAACATCTCTGTTTCCGTTTCTGTGCTTAGACTGGCCATTAATATCCGCTATAAACCCACTGACTCCCACAGCTACCTGGACTATACATCCTCACACCCTGCTTCCTGTAAAGACTCCATCCCATTCTCTTAGTTCCTCTGTCTCCATCGCGTATGTTCAGATGAGGCCACCTTCTTACTCAGCAAGGATTTCCCAGCACCGTCGTCAACAGGGCTGTCAACCAGGTCCAACCCATCTCCCGCACTTCCGCTCTCGCCCCTTCTCTTCCGTCCCGCAACAGCGATAGGGTTCCCCTTGTCCTTGCGTACCATCCCACCAGCATCCACATCCAGAAGATCATGCGACGCCATTTCCACCACCTCCAGCAAGATACCACCACTGGACACACATTCCCCTCCCCTCCCCTCTGGAATTAAGAATCAACTGATAACCATGAAATCATTGTCGACTGTCAGAAAAACCCATCTGATTCAGTAATGTCCTTCAGAGAAGGAAATCTGCCATCCTCATCTAGCCTGACCTACGTGTGACTCCAGACCCACAGCAATGTGGTTGACACTCAATTGCCCTAGCAAGCCTTCAGTTGTACTGATTGCTACAAAGTCTCAAAGAAATGAAACCAGATGGATGGTCTGACATCGACGTAGGCAACAGAAAAGACAACGGCAGAAACAGCCGTGCCAATCCTGCAAAGTCCTCGTCACTAGCATCTGGGGGCTAGTGCCAAAATTGGGAGAGCTGTCTCAGCCTAGTCAAGCAACGACCTGACATTGTCGGTAAGGTATGATTCCAAGAGTATGACTATGTCCCAGACACCACCGTCGCCAACCCTGGAAATGTCTTGTCCCACCGGCAGGGCAGACCCAGCAGAGGTGGCAGCACAGTGGGATACAGTTGGGAGGGACTTGCTTTGGGAGTCCTCAACATTGACTCCGGACCCCACGAAGTCTCATAGCTTCAGGTTAAACATGGACAAGGAAACGTCATGCTGAGTACCACGTACCGTCCACCCTCGGCTCATATTCCTTCATATTGAACAACACTTAAAGGAAGGCCTGAGAATGGCAAGGGCACAAAATGTACTCTGGGTGGGGGATTTCAGTGTCCACCATCAAGAGTGGTTTGGCAGCAGTACTACTGATTGAGCTGATCAGGTCCTAAAGGATGTAGCTGGTTGACTGGGTCTGTGGCATGTGGTGAGGGAAAAACATACTTGACCTCATCCTAACCAATCTGCCAGCTGCAGATGCATCTGTCCCTAACAGTATCAATAAGAGCCAAGCCCCACCTTCACATTGTGAATAACCTCCTTCGTGTTGTGTGGCACTATAACCAAGCTAAATGGAACAGACTTTGAACAGATCTAGCAACTTGAGACTGGACATCCATGAGGCACTGTGGACCATCAACAGCAGCAGAACTGTATTCCAGCACAAACTGCAACCTCATCACCCATCATATGCCCCACTCAACCATTACCATCAAGCCAGGCGATCAACCCCGGTTCAATGAGGAGTGCAGGAGGGCATGCCAGGAGCAGCACCAGGCATACATGAAGATGAGGTGGATGCTGAACAGCATAAGCAGTAAATGATAGACAGAGCTAAGTGATCCCACAACCAACGTATCAGATCTTAAACCCTGCAGTCCTGCCACATCCAGTCGTGAATGGTGGTGGACGATTAACAACTCACCGGAGGAAGAGGCTCCACAAATATCTCCATCCTCAGTGACGGAAGAGCCCAGCACATCAGTGCAAAAGATCAGGCTAAAGCATTTGCAGCAATCTTCAGCCAGAAGTGCGGAGTGGATGATCCATCTTGGCCTCCTCCAGTGGTTCCCAGCATCACAGATACCAGTCTTCAGCCAATTCAATTCAATTGACTCCACGTGAAATCAAAAAACGGTTGGAGGTGTTAGATACAGGGGGATTTCCTGTAAAACGTTCAGATGACACAAATTGGCTTTAACGCAATCGACGAATGGGGAAATGGCATTTGTAAAATGCAAACTTTGTGCTGGCTATAACGTGATTCCAACGTCGACGTCACATGATCAGTTTGTGGGTTTTGTCCTCAGCATGTGCTGAAAGAGTCCCTGCACTGGTATTGAGGATCCTTTCTCTCTCCGTGAGAGGTACTGTTCCAAGTCTGCCGCGTTATCCACAAAATGTGAGGACAAAGTGGCAAAAATGATAACAAGAAGCATCCTGGTGATAAAATTGCCAGTGGCGTACTTAAAAGAAAGGCTCTAGCGCTGGAAGAGCAACTCGATGTTGTAAAGTGTTTTGAGTGTAATGAGAGAACATGTGATGTTGCTCGTGCAACAGAAATGAAGCTGTTTCCCTTGCGCACCATTAGAGACAATGCAGAAAAGATTAAAGCAAGCTGTATTGTTGGAACAAGTCTGAGTGTTAACAAGTCTGTGGGGTCAAAGACAGAGGAATTTGAGGAGATGGAGCAGCTTCGAAGTGTCTGGATACAAGAACAAACAAAGATGCAATGTGGGACCACCCTTCCCACTATGAAAGAGAAAGTCTTATCAATTTATGAAGATCTAACAAAACAAGCCAAAAATCCTGCAGATGTGTCTGCCTTTAGTGCTAGCAGTGAATGGTTTGCTGATTTTAAGAACCACTGTGCTTTTCAGAATGCAAGGTTATGTGGCAAAGCTGCCAATGCAGACAAGGAGCATGCAATGGCATTTCCTCCTATAGTTAAAAAAAAAAAAATTAATTGACAAAGAAGGCTACAACTTCGATCAAATTTTCAGTTTGGCTGAGACAGGTTTATACTGGATGTGAATGCCATCAAGAACGTATATTTCTATGAATGAAGCACATGCTGCAGGCTTTAAGGTGGCAAAGGATCATATGACTGCTGCTGGGTGCCAATGCCAATGGAAACTTAAAGAACAAAGAAAATTACAGCACAGGAACAGGCCCTTCGGCCCTCCAAGCCTGCGCCGATCCAGATCCTCTGTCTAAACCTTTCGCCTATTTTCCAAGGATCTGTATCCCTCTGCATGAATGGGCAGGGAGCAGAGGGATACGGATCCTTGGAAAATAGACGACAGGTTTAGATAGAGGATCTGGATCGGCACAGGCTTGAAGGGCCTGTTTCTGTGCTGTAATTTTCTTTGTTCCTTGTTCTTTGTTCTCTGCTCCCTGCCCATTCATGTATCTGTCTAGATACATCTTAAATGACGCTATCGTGCCCACCTCTACCACCTCCGCTGGCAACGCGGTCCAGGCACCCATTACCCTCTGCGTAAAGAACTTTCCACGCATATCTCCCTTAAACTTTTCCCCTCTCACCTTGAAATCGTGACCCCTAGTAATTGAGTCCACCACTCTGGGGGAAAAAGCTTCTTGCTATCCACCCTGTCGATACCTCGTGATTTTGTAGACCTCGATCAGGTCCCCCCTCAATCTCAGTCTTTCGAATGTAAATAATCCTATTCTACTTAACCTCTCTTCATAGCTAGCGCCCTCCATACCAGGCAACATCCTGGTGAGCCTCCTCTGCACCCCCTCCAAAGCATCCACGTCATTTTGGTAATGTGGCGATCAGAACTGTAAGCAGTATTCCAAATGTGGTCGAACCAAAGTCCTATACAACTGTAACGTGACCTGTCAACT